AATATGTGAATATTTTATTGTGGGTAAATTTGACCCTGTTATTTGTTGTTATTGTATTACATTTAATGCAAACGGCTGGCTGGTTTTTGTTATTGCATTTTCATTTTCCTACTATCGTAATACAATGTTATGTAACGGTCAAAGCAGAGTTTGCAAAATTCTCTCAAGAGTCCAATAAGAGTTTATAACTTTTTGAGTCAGTTTTAACTACTCATCGTGGCTACGTATCATCAATTTTACGATACTGGCCGATTGTCTGCAACGATTTTGTCTATGCAGACAAACTTATAAAAATTCATAAATAACGTTCAAGAGATTCAAATTATTATTACACTTTATGGTTGAATTTTATGGAAATTGCGCGCGTTTATTAAAAGTGAACAGTGACTTGTTATAACATTTTTACTGGACTTATAATGCAAAATATGACCACCACAGACACAAAGACTCCATGTGTGTGCTTTCAAAGACAACCAATTAATCAAAAATAAATCCAGGATTTTTAATTAGTATTTAATATTAAACTAGATATTGACTATTGATACAAAAGAAAATAGTTTTTCCTGCTCAGACCTAAGAAATAAAATCATTAGATTATTATTTTTGTATGTTTAATAGAATGAATATTATAAATCTGACCAGACCGTATATTTATTGTGCGGAGTGTTTTTCTAAGACATGACATTTGTCCGGTGTCCGGCGACGTATCTTATAAATCGTCAGTCGAAATCTAAGTACAACTTATTAATAACCTGAAATATGTCCTAGGCAAATGACCCGTTGTTTTTATCTGAAATAAAGTGTTTTCATATGTAGAAATAAATTAATTCTTGACATTAACTTGAAAAATATCTACTCATTGTTCTTTTTAACACTTTTTATTTTGAAGATATTGTAAAGTTAGACATTAATTGCAGATTTATTTATTACATTGAATTGCTCAAGTCTTATGTTGCTATATAAAATTTAGATTTTATTTTATACTATACAGATTAAGAAAAAGGGTAATAACATGTTGTTACCTTAAGTAAAATATTCCTAATATTGAATTTGGTGGACTCCATTAGTCCATTCAACTCTATTCGCCATTCGAAAAAAGTTTTAATTTTAAATGACATCATTATCAGCCAGTATCTGCCCACTGTCAGATAAAGGCCTTCCCCAATGACTTCCACTGAATATGATCAACCGTTTTCCATAACCAGTTAAAAACTGTTATGTAAAAAAACTTAAATAACAGTTATATTCAACCCAAATTTATCGCATGCTGTAAATAGAACGCCATTTACAAAGGGGCTGGATTTTTCCGCTTTTCCATTTCGCAAGTTTAATTTCATCACGTATAAAACTTTGGGAATATAAGCGTATATTGTCGTGGGCGTAACCTGAATCGTGAGGTATAAAGTAATCTATTTTAAGGAGCTGGTAGACTTTTATATCAATGATCGTTTAAGATGTGTTTTAACTTGTTTTTTTTGTTACTCAATTCGAGAAATGTTCAAATAAAAATTTCTTCTTTAAAGCAACATTATTGTGATTTTTTTATGAATCGAAACTATTTTTTTATTAAACAATTCAAGTAAGAGTTAGGAATTAACTAATAGAATAATAGTAAGAATTTAAATTTATATAAACTATATAATTTTTTGGGAAAGCTGCGCTTTAAAATAGTCGCATGTTTATGGACACCCTAGCAAATTTCAAAGTGACATGGGATCGTGCCGATGCAAGCAATAAACAAAATGTCGTATTCAATAAAACGTCTGAAACTCAGCTGAAACACTTTAATTACTCACCTAAAGATAAATATTTGGACGCGTGATAGTAATGTAGCGATTTTACAGCGAAAATATTAAAATGACATGGAATGAAACGAATTTGAAGTGAATTGGAGCTATGCACGTTTCCTGTATTACATTGTGTTAAAGCACAAAAGACCTGCTTTTCTTTCAATTGCATTATTTTTCAATTTTTAGTATAGTATTTTACTATTAACAAGATTTAAAGTGTTTCAAGTATTAATTACTTTTATGAAATAAAATAAATAATTTGTAGATAATGAATTGCATCTAGGCGCATCACTAGCGGCGGTCAAAGGACCCGGGCGCAACACTACGAGACGTGTGAGATCTAAAGTTCTTCGGATCCAAGAATCCCAAGTTGTGAATTGAGCTCTTCCAAAACAAAACTTACAAATATTTATTGGCAACATGATTTTAAGTTGTATCGTGATAGGATATTTTCAATTAAGTTTTGATTTGAAGTGGCAGAAGTTGCTTAAAATCTTTGCGTTTATATTTCTAGAAGTTTCTAGAAGTTACAGAAACAAACTCTTTAATTTTTAATTTAAGATTGAATGTTTTTTGAATGTTGTCAATATCGCAAAAATTGTCTAATGGCGGATTTCTCGCTTCATTTGTTTTGCAGTCACTAAATAAATATTGTACGAAAAAGACAAACGTTTTCCTTTTTTAAACATCCTTCCAAAGACGAATGAAACGTTTATAAACGCTGAATAAATAGATACGTTTGTTAGAAGTAAACAGAAAAAGTAACAGATTAAAGAATTGTCGTGTTTATCTCCTGCCAGGGTCATTCGTCCTGACTAGTGCTAAAGTTAGATTACATTGTAGGATAACAAAAGTATAAAACGAGCTTCCAAAGACTTTATATTGTTACTGCAAATTGGTTTAGTATTTTCAGATCACGACACAATTTGTCTATTACAATTAACATCTGTATTAAAACGAAAAAAAAAAAACATTTTTTTTTATAACATTAGGTGGCAAACGAGCAAGCGGCCACCTGAAACCGCCAAAATGGCGAAGCGACCGGTGCCCAAAGACATCCGCAATTGCAGATTCGTTGCCTACCTTACCTACGGAGGAGGAGACGCACATAAAGAGGATATTTCCCCTTCCTATGCATCTCCTCCACCGTCAAATCCAGTTCCTCTTCCCAACCTCTCCTTATAAGAAAAGGGTGGTAAAGAGAAAGGGACGTTTTAGAAAAACATATTTATATAGTTCAGAAAAACGCATACAATCCCTACAAAATACGAATAAATCCCATGTATTATTAACTTAATAGTGTATTAAATAAATATAACAGAGAATAGTTTCATAAAATTCAATGACACTGTGAATTGTTTCAACAAGAATGTAAATCTGTTGACGCGCCTCGTCTCAGCCACGACAAACTTTACAAACTTCATCTCGCAAGCGCTTTATTAACTTTGACATGTTCATTTTGAGGTTATGTGTAAATAGTTAACGAATATCAATCAAACAAGCTGTTATCTTTATATACTTTCATGTTTAAAAAATAATCTATACTAATATATAAAGCGTAATCACACTTCTTTGTTGCCTAAGATGTCAGCAATTACAGCATATTTTCGAATAACTCTTTTATTAATAAAAAGCCCCACACTTACGTCACGCTTTAGGCTATATATTATCACGTTAAAACCTAGGGGTTAATATTTTGGATAAAAACCCTAATGTGGGAAAGAGACCATAAGTTGTTGCCAACATTAAGAAAGAAAGATTGCTAAGGTTTGTCATGTCATGTCATTTTGACTTTTGTAATTGATAATTTGACAAATGTGAACAATGTAATGAAATTTTTATAATTTTATGTGGATGAAGTCGCATGGGAACAGCTACTTTGTTAATATTTATCATTTAGTAGAGGTCACATTGATTGTTTTAGCAAAGACAACTTAAGAAAAAAATATAATAATTGTAAAAAGATGGTATAGCTTTTCAATGAACTAATAGTGTTTTGACCTAATAACAGATAGATTTTAAATATACAGAAAATGTAACTACGTAGTTTGATACAGCGTATGACTTATATTTTGTGCTTAACAAAAACCTTTAAGTTAGTACGTCTAAAGCTTTAGGCAAGTTCTACTTAAATTTGCTCATCGGATTGGAAGCTTGTGCACACTCGCGTAGATAAACGATATTTATCTATGTCGTTGAATTATCGGGCCGTTGATATCGTGTTATATGTTTTAACTAGAAATATACAAATAATAATTTCTATATTATACTAACATATTAATGACAATACATATTCATTGATTAAAAGTATTGTTGACAGGTATTTACAGAAGCAAGGCGTTCATGTTTTACTGGAGCTTATCCGCTTTGGACTATCATCAACAAACCGCACAGCAATATGCAGCTTGGCAATATCCCGTATATGCCGACACGCCAGTCAAACTAGCGTCGTTTAACAAAGATGGGTTTTCTAATCTCTGGCAACGGGAACTCGCCAGATCGTGTCATGTCTGCCGCAGGGTCGTCGGCCGGCTAGGGTGCACATGTGGCTTGCTCTACGTTAGGACTGTGCAATTAAATTGATGGAATGCAATGAAGAATATTCTAATCGCCTGAAAGGAAACAATAAATAAATAATTAGTAGATATTAAAATAAACATTTATGACATCTTTATAAAAAAGAACGGTATGTAAGAATAAGAGGACATAATGCGGACGGCAGAAATCGTAGGATGCAGTGCGTCAATATTCGAATTTCGCATATCTATGAGTCAAGAGATTTAATTTAAATTGTTTGGTATATTGTAATATAGTTAACGTTTTGAATGTGCTGGATTTATTTAAGACATGGTGACCCTAACCCGCCCGTATTTGATTTATAACCTTTTCGCGGCCCATACCACGATAAATGAGGGGTGGGAGCTGTCGTGTCTTCCTTATTAATATATTTTAAAAGATTAACTAATGATATATGATAGTGATTACCTTATTCGTGTACACGCCAGTTGACAAGTTGTAGGATTAGCTGTCCCAAGTATAAAATACACATAGATATAATAGACAGGACAGTGTAACTATTTATTTTGTTTGTTTTTCTTGAATTTTCGTTTCTTTGTATCATGAAATTGATTTAATTAATATATACAAATGGTATTAATTTGAAGAACAATTCAATCGAAATCTCGACTTTCCAGTTTAACTGAGTTTTACACAGAAAGTGCTTAAAAATGATATATTACAAAGTATTAGTTTACTTTTATGTACGTTAGACGTGACTTGAGTTTAAACGTCCAAATCGAACTATAATTGCTGTGCTTAACGTCGTTAAGTACGTTAAGTCACTGTTAAGTTATTGTGTCGTAAAGTTTTATTAATAGCTCAGGATTCGTATGTTGAACTGAAAAATTAACTTTAAACTTATTGTTAAGTTTCTAATATCTCTTTTAATGCTCAACCAATAATAAATAATTATATTGTTAGGTAAAGTTACGAAGTTAAAAATACATCAAGTGGAAGCTTTGATTATCCTCATGTATAAGTTCCGAATATTTAATTTTTCCTTGAGAAAATGATAACGAATTTTCATGGAAAAATTTTAACTCACAGAAAGTTTTAAGTCATCAGAAACTGAACTACATTTAATTATTCTTATCTTTCGTTCTCTGTAATTTTTTTATAATTTACAACAATTATATTAATTTAGAAGGTTTCAAGCTTCAAAGATTTACAGAATTTTATACAGATTGTGAATTACTAAGGCTCTTGAAGTACACTCTAACCTGCTTCAGTGGGCAAGGATTTTTTCGATTTGTTAAAAGTGCTCAATAAATCATTTTTAGTAAAACTTGATGTGTTGACTCAAAACCAAAGTTAAACAAATCTGCCCGTGCGCATTCGGCCACTAAGTCGTTGCATATTCTTACCGCGCCGTGCGCAGTTGCCGCTCCGCTATGCGCTGTTGCCGCTCCGCCGTGCGCTGTTGCCGCTCCGCCGTGCGTTGTTGCCGGCCGAGCGACGTTGCCGCTCCGCAAACGTTAGACGCACGCGCCGCGCCGCCCCGCACGAAATTTGTCCCGATATTTCCGGGAAACATTGTGTTTACAACGTTATAACTTGCGTGTAAACTTGGCATGGCATAATAATAATGTAAATAATTATTTCTTTGTTCTCAGAAGGAAGATTTTCGATTGTAAAGTATTTATTATAAATTGACATTTTATAAGATAAAAGTTGTGGAATAATTTTAGATAGAATTTCCCAACTTGGAAACTTTTCTGAGCAATCTGTTGTTTTGTTTTATCGACAATTTGTTTGTGAAAAACAACATCTTGTTTTAAATTAAATTTTGAGTTTAATAGCAAACGAAGGATGCATACATGGAACTTGTTTTTTATTTGATAAAAAATAAACCATTTTTCAATGTATGCAAAGCTTTACATTTTGCCTCTTTTAACTTTAATGTATTCGTGATAATATTATTAAAAAAAATAGTCACACCGAGATTTCGAAGAGTTAGTTATAAGTCGAAGAATAGTTAGAATCCGAGATATTTCTTTTTTTGTATCTTTTTAATAAACGTCGGTACATGAGCCAGCGGTCGTGTGGCGATGTCCTGTAGGAAACGCAGTGAACCGTGCTCTGTACACTGTATGTAATTATACACCGGACGTGAGAGTCGCAGACAGAAGGAGGCTAACGGTATGTGGAGGGGAAAGTCCGCGGAAATTATATTCTCAGAGTTCGTTGTATCTTGACCATTAGTTTAAAATGATAGGAAAATCTTTTATTTTTAAGAGATAGCCGTTTTAATAACTTCTAAATCTGCTGTGACTATTACATTTAGTTTCTTATAGAAATATTCATTGTTTCTAGAATACGCTTTGACTGATTTTGAAAATTGGATGCTTGATGAAAATTAAAATACAGTTAATTGTGCAGTGTCCGCAGTAATATAGCAAAAATGGGTATAGAAAAACTCACTAAAGAGAACTGTAAGTGGTAATATTAGGTTCATTAGCTGACGTCACAAACAGCCGATAAGTGGAAGTAATAAGGAAAGCGGCAATGCATTCGGGGACATTGCGTGTGACGTCACGCACGATGGTAGAGGTCAGGAATCAGCCGCGCGGCCTCAGACCAATGGCACGGCCTTACGCTGTCCCTTGGTGATCTATTGACACACGATAGCCTTAAAGCTTAATTGATTAACGTATTGTTTTTCAATAAACCAATAAGATTAACAAGAAACTATTTTTATTAATGAAAAAATCAAAGAAGTCTTAGTAAATATTGAACAATGTAGATTTTAAACGAGATATCAAAGAAAACCATTTTAAATTGTTTTAGGACTATAGGTTTCACGATATTTGATGAGTCAATTTGACGACATGGTCTGAAGATCAGAATCTTTTTCCCCTCTTATTTTAGATAGCCAGTATAAACCAAAATATTGAATCACTATAACAGGTCGCTGTTCTCTTTCATACGGTATGTTTATTGTATTCTAAACAAATTTAAACTAAAGTAAATGACATATGAAGGCTTATGACAAGGTTATTGACCTTATGATCAGATATATTCCGCAAGGTGCTACGCCGCGCTACGCCGCAGCACATGTTTGCACAGTAATAATTATTGCCACAGAGGCGTTGCTGAGTAAATATGTATTGTTACTCTATATGATATTGATCTAGATAATGTGAGTGTTTGAATACACTGACGTATAATTAATTTAGTTAGTAACTAACGAAAGGTTGGAAATAAAAGTAGAAGAATCTTTGAAATAAATGAAGGAAGCATAGACGTTAAAAAAATCTAATGAGTTTTTAAGATAATTTCTTTAAGTATTGTTACAACTCTTAATTTATCCGGACCTCAGCTGCTAGAGTTTCTACGGTATTGTTAAAAAAGAAATAAATGTTTGCTATGTGATTTTAGTTTCTTAGTTTAGGTCCTTCAATGTAGGTTTTGTCTTTGGCCAGTTTGTGTTAATTTTAATTGACTATTTCCTTCAATTGCACTATAACCTTTATACCTTAACAACGATTGTATTTCTGCTAACTAAATTTTAATTACTAGAATAAGCTCCTAAAACAGGGGAAACATTAGGGAGACAGTAATGACTAAAGTTTTCGACAAAACCTCGACGCGCCTAAAGTTATAACTCCATTTCACTAGTAAACAGAAGCTTTGCAATAAAATTTCATAAATGAATAAAATAGATTCCAATCTCAAAAGTATGTTCTGTTAATTCATTTTTGATTTAATTAATAAAATCTAAGGTGTTTGAGTGTAACATAACACTGATAGAATACAAAAATTATGTTCGAATTTGTACACGAAAAACCGAATCAAAAGTGTGAAGTCATAAAACAGATTGGTAATGTTTTACGAAGGTACATCCTTTATTTGTATTAAAAATGCTTAAAACCGCTGATTTTACTCAAATTGACATTTATTGGTTTTAAAACTGCGTTCACCATCTGTATGATTGACGACAGGGCGTTAACAGCGTTCATTTATGCGGGTTCGAACCCGGGACTTCCTCGGTGTCTAGACGCTCGGTCAGGCACATAATCAGTGGTTTGGCAAACGAATACGTGCAGGTTAATAACGGAAGGGACTGAATATATGAATTATGAAGACCCTATATTAATCTCGAGCTTAGCCTACATTTCCAAATATATTTTATAGGACATAGGGTCAAAATACTGGACGGCCGATGTATTAGATGTTTATGTTGTATTTTTCTTGTTAATTTTTTAAACTTTTTACCACGTTTTCTCTTAATTGCTGTTTCCAATTTTTCCCTGCCCTATTCATAGTTTAACGATTTCATAAAATTCATTCCACGAACATTTAATTTAGTGAAAGAGTATAAAATTGTAGAGTTAAAATAAATTTCTATTTTTGCGTACTTATTATCCTATTTTTTAACTATTGTGACGGTCACATGATTGATGTATTTTCCAATTTCGGATAGATTCCAACCCGGATGCGATACCGTCGACCTTGCTAATTCCCTAATGTGTTTTTTTACAATTATAACACGGAGTTATAAACTCTATTACAATGGACATAAAGGTTCTTTAAGCGCAAATACATGGTTGTTGGTATTTGAATGCACATGCGTCGGACACTCGAGCCTACGCCGTAGCGGTACTACGATCAGACGGCGCCCGACCGCCACAGAACGCGCGCGTAGACCCCGCTACGAACTCACACCATACATTACGGAACTTTTCATACTCACTTGAATTTATGAATCGGTTTCGGAGAACTATGGTAGTTTTATTAGCTATACTTTGGTGTATAAACTCATAAATTGTGTGTGTACTTTCGTTTCACAAATGACTTAGTGTTGAATTTAAATTAAAATGGCACCATTACGAGTGCCTACAGACTTTTTCACGGATGATGTGACTGATTTTTTGAACTATTCGACGCAGCATCCGGGTATCGAATCGCCTAGACATCACCTGCGTCACAGAAATCATTCTCGGGACCATTCGAGAAATCACAATGTTGTCGATATGCTATCCAATTCGATAATGGAGGTGATAAATACTAAATTTGTTCCGGACAATAGCGTCCTGCCGGACATGGAGCCGTTGTCTACGCACATGGACGGTCAGGAGCGACATCCTTTGAGGATGAATATAACGATGAATCGTTCCGATTTCGGTGTGATAAGCGAGGAGTTGCTGTACCGGCACACCGGGGCGATGACGGCGGTGTATTGCGTGGCCTACCTGCTGGTATTCGTTGTGGGCCTGGTGGGGAACTGCTTCGTGATAGCGGTAGTATACCGCTCGCCAAGGATGAGGACCGTCACCAACTTCTTCATCGTGAACCTCGCGGTTGCTGATATCCTGGTGATCGTGTTTTGTTTGCCGGCTACTTTGATGTCCAATATATTTGTCCGTGAGTACACCTCTCCATTATATTTGCCTAAGTTATAATTATCTTCGATTTATTTAAATAATTATTTAGCGGCTCATAAAATGAATATAGTTGAAGTAATGTTTTTTACCAATTAAAATTTAGATAGTTCAGGAACGTTTAAGTATATTTCAATAGTTTTGATACGTGAACTTTGCCGTTTCTCACCAACTTGAAAGAGCTGCATTAATCTCAGTAATGTATCCGCCAGAAGTTCCGCCCTCCTGTAAAAGTTACTTTACAACTTGTCGAGTGCGTGAACTCAACTTACAAAGTGAAATGGGCTGGCATGTGTAATGTGAGGAAAAACTTTGAGTATAAAATACTTTATGGAAGAAACTAATATTTTATTAAATATCTCTTTGGGGGTGTTTAAGTTTCTTTTGAATACAATTGGGGTAGACAGAGGCAATAATTATCTATTGCCGCTGTCGAATTACAAAAAATGTAATTTTCTTTTATTTAACTGTTACTGGTTTGTGTCGTAGTTCCATGGCAGGATTCATGTTGGAGTATTTTAAGTAATCTAATCTGGTATTACAAGCTCGTTAGGCGCTCAAATGACTAATCGTTTTTCTAGATTTAAACTCCTGACGTAACTTTAAAGTAACACGAAACAATTAATAACGAAAAAATGTTTCTTACTGAACTAAAAGATTTTTTTTCTTTAAATTAGTTTTATTAAATCGCTTTCAGAAGTAATACGCTACGTGCAGCAGACGAGGTAAGTGAATGTTTGATTGAATTGTCTTGATAACTTATGACGACTGATTAAATTTACATTTAGCTAGTTGGAGATTGAATTGAGTAAATCTTGAGAGTTATATTAAAATAATTTATTCAGTTAGGTAAAAATATTCTAGGAATATCGGAGAATAATCGCTGTGGTTATTTTAAAATTTACTCTGCTTTGCTGAATATATTTGAGAAATTTACGCATATTTCACTCTCTGTATCGAAGTTTTTTCAACGATACTTTTAACATTATTCAGGTGAGAGTCGACGGTAACCTCACTTAATTCTATAATGCATTAGCACTTTTTATCTTCCTTTTTTGTCTGCGGAGAAGATTTATTTATCATAAATAATAATTTAATTGTATCTTTTACATATTGCTACAGTTCTACGCGGAGTATCGCGTCTACGGCGTAGCATTGTAACATATGTGTTCCTCGACCTTAATGTCGTAGAATTTAATGTTTACAATTATATAGCTATTTGAATTTTATAGACTTTTTTATAAGAAAATTTATGTCATTGTTGAATTCAATTAAAACATATACAACAAATATTTGTTTTTTTTTAGACCCGATATAAACACCATCATGTCTAAAAAAGGCAAATAAAATAATTACTTAAGTTTTCAATTTTAAATAAATGTCGGACTTAAAATGTTTGTCACTAGTAATAATCATGATCATACGCAACAAATTAGAAAAAATGAGTTTCAACAGATTTATATTTCACTTTATTTTAAGAAACTAAAATATTTGAATTTTGATTTCTATCTTATGACACTTGAATCATAAGTTTTCTGTCACGCGAGCGTTTTAATTTGCATTTTGGCTCCCTGCTATCGTATCGGAGACGACAGCTCAAAGATTCTTAACAACAGCAATGTGTTTATCGCACTCTATACGTCTGCTTGTACCGTATCTACAGGATTTTTATTACAGTATTAGTGTTTTTAGTATTTTTATCAGCACATTGAGAAGTGACTACAAATCGTCTATTTTTATGAGTTATTCATTTGCACATTTCTCGCTGATGCATTATTTAGTTTAAATTAAACATTCACGCTCGTAAGAAGATAGAGAGTGACTATTGATTTTTACGTCACATGTACCAGACTTTAACTTTTTTGTCAATTCCATAAACCTTCGTATGTAAACATGCTCTTCAATTGTTTTTATCTCTTTTTTTAAGGCAATTGTAAAGACAGTTTAAATTGAATTAGATATGTCTTATTGAATAATTGAATCATCTTCATTAGAGCTCTCAGCCGTTACCAACTTATAAAGTGAAGGCGGGCTTTTATTGCGGCGTATTTTCTGTTGCCTCGTAATTTTAAAGCCTTTGTTGTTGAAATGTTGATGAACTTTAAAATTACCTGGCCTTATAGCGACGGAAATATGTTCAAGTTTATCTAGAATTTCTTTTAAAGTAGTTCAAGAAACAAACAGAGGTAAAAAACAACAGTAAAATAACTGACGGCTGTAATTAAGAGAGCAGAGACAGACAGAAATCTATTTAATGCGGTCCTGACTCACCTCTCACACTTCTTCTATATTCATGAATATTTAGTACCTAAATATCTGATTCATTATAAAAAAATAAAGAGACGAAAATTCAAAAGCATTAAAGGTAAGTTTCAACCTCGACATATTTCAAAACGAGACGATACACCCAGTTAGTTGTCCGGCAAAGTTGTGACAAACGAGTGTCCGGGACACGGGAACTGCTAACAAGTTCCCGCCGACTGCCGGAACTCGACTAGTTAGTTCCATAACTAGTTCCCCGGCGCTCGGAACTCGTCGTGACTCCGATAAACTGCTTTGTTGAAGGAATGTTGTCACGACACTCAACTAGCATGTTAATTTGTGCTGAGTGAAGTTATTTGGTGTTTGTATGAATTTCATATGTGTCAAAATTAAGCCATGACTTAAATCGTTTTATATATACGTGCCTAAGAAAACATTACGTAGCTGTTAATTTACAAGTACGCTTTGATGTTGCATTGATTAAAACATAACCTTAAAATTACACTTTTTCGGAATTACATCACAATTTCTTTGTATCATTAGACTTGGAATTACACAGAATTATTACAGAATCTGCGGGAAGTCTAGACGATGCAATAGCCCCGAGGAAGTGTACAATGTCGTTCGTTTGTCGTCGGTCAACGTTAACCGCCGCAATCCGCTCCTTTAACGACGTCGTTCCCACAAGATGTCCTCGTAGTTTTCAACGCCATTAACCAACGTTTACGTCGCTTTAGGGGCCCGTCTGCTAAACGCGAATCTCTTAGCGAAAACATTCTTTGCTCAATTGACTCTTGTGATATACAAGAGTTGTTTTCTTGAATAGTGTTTGGCTTTTAAGTTTATAATTAATTCCTTTATTTAAAAATAAAGCTTTGTTGCTTTGTATTAGTCGCGAGTGAATTTATTTAATCATACGGAACGCAATGTCTTCCGTAAAGTTTATTATGCATAAAACGTGTGAGCGAATGTTCCCGATTAGTACAACAGTTTATGTCGACATCTTGTTGGAGCGCGGTGGTATCAAGATGGAATTTAGACTATGACCGATGTTGTTTTATGATACATTTTATTGACCGTTTGGCTCCGGTGTCTTTAAGATATAATTTATTGAGCTACAGACCTAGATATTTAATATAGTTAGGGTATTTCTATAGGAGAACTAATTGCTACTTATGTGAACGACATCTATTTTAAACATCAATAAAAAAGTTATATAGAAACCTCTTTATTTGGGTATTAAGATAAAAAGCTTAGAAGCTCGTAAAGAAAAGCTTCTAATCTAAATATGTCCGCAATGATGAAAATTGCTTAGATTTTAACTTCATAGTAGTAATTAAGTCCGTGGTGCTTTCTAAAGCTTATTAATCAAATTAATTGAGCAGTCCTTGTCATCAATATTGTCTAAGTAAACGCGGTGGTCGAACAAAAGGCGCGGTCTTTGCCCCGGGGCAGGGGAGGGGACTCGGACCCATCACTTATAAACGGACAAGCTCGTGGAATCGTAAAGAAGTCGACATAAATTATGTCGGACCGTCGTGTCGGCTTTCGTTTGCCATTTTCCGACATTAAACCGACTTAATTATGGTGAAATAGTGGAATGGAAGGAAAATTGAATAGTATGCACATAAATTATTTTTTTTTCGAACAATTCATTGTTTACGTTGATATCATTCGTGTTTTAGACGCTAGACTTAGCCCTCCATTAGTATTATTAGACTTAATAAATTGATAATTGAGCAGAATTTTTTTTTTACTAAAGTAAATAAATGCAAACTTCTGTCGTCTGATCCCTATTTAATAAGACCCTAGCTTCATAAATTCTGTTTACCTCATAAGGTAATCTTCTGCTTAACAAAATTATTATTAAGTAAACTTAATATAATTATGGTTTTGATTACAATTAATTTCAGTTCCTTCGCTTCACGTGAGCTCGTTAAGGTTAAGCTCAAACGTGATGATATTTAAGTACATTAAACTGCCGCCTTATGGCTTATATGAGACGTTTACTTAAGAGTTCAACAATCTTGTTTATATGAGACTGTTAAATTTAGACTGTTTGATGCACACGGAGTGTTACAATACGGGGTGTTTTGATTTAAATCAATTATTTCTAAAAAATAAAGTAAGAAATGCTGATTCAGTTTTTAAACGACTTCAAAAATAAGAATTATTTCGCCAATTTAATTATTTTGATTAAAAATCTTAAGTTACGGTATATCTAGGTTTTCTGATTAGTTTATAATATAGTAATCATCCTGTCGATTTCTTTCCAACGATCGATGCTAACAGTTTTTTTTTTGCAAAAAGTTTTTTCATTTCCTCCTTAATCCTTGAAGCTGACCTAAATATCACATGGGTGTATAAAAATGAAACACCCTTTCTCGACATAAACGGTTCTAATTACGAGAAAGGTTTTAGTGAATGAGCCTCGAGGGATGACCACCGGCCCTCGAGTCCGGTAAAGCGGAGCAAATTAAACAACATTAACCTTAAATACCGTACGATAAAGGTTAATTTTGTATGTTCTGAATCAAGTAATAGTCGCTTTGGAGATATTTCTCTATTAACACTATACGTATACAGGGTGTTGATTGCCAGTAAATTGCTTTTCAGTTTGTTGATTATAAAAGCATGTTTTTATAAAAGTCTATTTTGTTTAACGAATTACTCGTACAATTACATGTCAATCTTTTAAACAATTTTGGAGTTACAGCACTG